TTACGATCCATCATGGGTGCCCTGCGTGGCCGAGCCTCAGCCCGTCACCTGTCCCGCTCCTGGATGCCAATCCCTATGCTCCCATAGCCCATCTCATCCCATCTACACCTGCCCACAGCCCCATCTCATCCCCCGGCTGAGCCTGCCCTGCCTGTGGGGGTCCCGAGCCAGTCTCCATGAAGATGCCTGCTCTGTCCAGCACCCCTGGCAGTGGATGTGGGATGAACGAGCTGAGATGCTCAGGCAGCAGGGCCAGGGCCAGGGCCGGGTCCAGCAGCAGAGGTAACACTGGCAGCGACAGCTGAAAGGAGCCACCAGGGCTGCTGGGAGTCACAAAGGTGAAGCAAAAGGACCTCCATGCCTTTTTGCTGCACCACCAATACCTAAAATTTGTGGTCGCTACAATGCCAGTAATAGATTGCGCCACTTGCTCATGGCAGACGTCTGTTTGATGGGAGGAGAGCTTCCTGCACCCTTCAGCTGCCCTGACCAGCTGCTCCGGAGGCTCGAGAGGCCGAGCCCTGCAAACCCTGTGAAGTTCCAGGCAGGGTTGGGCCCCTGGAGCTCCTGCGCGGCTTTCTCTTCTTTGAGATGTGCCCTCGGGAATCTCGGGGTGCACCTCAGTAAATGCAGAAAGCTAGGTTTCCCCCTCACATCGCTTTCTAGCATCGTCATCACCATGGACCACAGTTTGCTTTGCCATTCTATGAAGTTTTCTCATTCTGCTACAGTTTTGCTTCACGTTGGGAAGTCTCTTTGCAAAACTCGCATGACCCACGGGGCAGATGATTTCAGATCTTTGGTGACACCCGTCCCTGCGATGTGAAAGGGAAGTTGAGTACAGGGCCCTGGTGAAAACCAGTTTTCACTTCGTAAAGGTCTTTATGACAGATGCTTGCTCTGACTTACGTGGAGGAGGGTGGACATACCTTTAGTAGTCAGGTGTCCTTTTCTTCTTCCTCAGCCCCCTCATCTCTTAATACTTCAAAAATGCTCCTAATGCCACTATTCTGCTTGCTCTCCTAACGCTTCATCTCCTAATGCTTCCACGGGTTGAGTGTATGAACTTTTTCCCCCTGCTCTCCTTCCCTCTGCACTGCCGGCTGGAATTGCAACTTCCTTTACAGCGCCGATGGCTGCAAATGTTCTCTGGGACAGTCTCTTCGTAGTCAAATCTCAAACACAAGCTTTGTTTCAGATTACGTTAATCTTCTTTTCTCATCAGTAATAGCATTGGTTACAACGTTATCCAATGTTTTTGTTTAATTATTGTGGATTTAAGCCAGCTTATCAATTATCTTTCTCAACTTCTCTAGCGTTCAGGTTTCTGGATGAGCCTTTCAGTGATATGTCTCTCACATCTGCCATTTTCTAGCTCTCGTCTTTTCTGCATAAATGACTTGGTCCACATCCACTTTAGTCTCTTATTGAAGACTTCTCTATTTACTTCAGTGCTTCACGAGGCCTCCATTTCCCACCTGGTGTTTCTTATGTGATTGATTTTCACTTAATGCACCTTTAGCAGCTGTAAGTAAAGCTTCCTTCCCTGAATCCCAAAGCGAATCTGCATTTAGCTCTCTATATTATAAGATTGTTAGTTAATTTGCTACAAAGCCTGGGCTTTCTGTTTAAACTACCTTCCACCGTTTCTTTCCCTGACATTCTCTTTCTGCATTTTATTTTTTGAGAACTCGGCAAGTATGATACCGTGGGGGGACCATGTTTCTCTCGCAAGGTGTCAGTCTTTATATCTGTTGGTTCTAGTCATTGCACAACCTGCTTTATTGCATGAACATCTCTTCTAGAAGTGACATTACCGTTTTTTCCTGAGAAATTGGGTTGACCGGTGCCATACCGCAGGCATTATCATTCTGAAAAAATGCCTCCTTCCTTATCTATATCTCTAATGCGAACACATGCATCTATGCATCACCCTCTGTACATACATGTGCGCCTGTGCATCACCTTCTGTAAGGATTCACCCACTGAATGAAAAGGCTGTTGTAGTTGCCCCTACAAACATCATCCTCTTCTACGCGGTGCCAAAATGAATTACTTTCTTTCCCATATATAAGCTTTCATTGTCATCAATCAGTCATGGGCTCTTCACTTCCAAGAACCATTACGGCAAGCCTTTATTGAGAATAAATGGTCAGCTGGATAGATGGGTATGAGTGTGTTCACTCTCTTTTCAAATCAATATCTCAAAACTCTATAAAAGTATTCTCTTCCTTCCTCCTTGCACATCACAGATCGCTGCCCACCTTCCTCGGTGCCACTGGGAGCTTTTTACCCTTTATATACCTCTGAGGGATCATGCTTCATACAACCACCATTGCACTTACTTGGGTAACTGAGGCCATGATCTACTGAAGGTTTCTTCCTATAGTCGTTTGCTATGCTAAATGTTCTCCTTTCCCTTTTCTTTCGAGTCCTCGTTAGAATGCTTTCTTGATTTTGAGGCACAAATCTGGTATCTCTGGGGTACCGTGAACTTAAATTTCCATTTTCCCTTAGCAATGCAAGAGTTGACAGCTTAGCCCAAGGTGGCCGTACTTCTGTTATGCCCTCTGGCAGAGCATGGTCTTGTTTGAATTGCCCCATGGCAGCTATCAGAGTTGGAAGAAACCCTTGGGGGTTATTAAGGCTTGGGCTGTAGAGAGGCTATGCTCTGCGCCCCACTCTGCTAGTCCTGTCGCTTAGTTGGAACTGAAACCCTGCTCCTCCTCTCTGTAACAGTCAGGAATAAAGGCAGTGTTTAATCAATAGTTCCAGCTGTATGAAATGCCTACTAGGTGCACTTAGGATTCACCATCTTTCATGCTTGGGGAGATATAAGCACCTCCTTGTTTCCACCAGAATTTCCCACTGGGGCACAAGGGCTACGAACTGTGAGACCTGAGCCCTAAAGTCCACGTGGAATTGGACCCCTTGTTCTGACAGTGTAATTGAGGCCCAGCCATACTCTGGGGTTGTCCCAGCACAGGGAACTAGAAGATCTTTTCCTTTGCCAGTTGGACAGGGACTAATTTCTGGGCTCCTGTCTCCATCCAGCAGATGCTGAGACAGTGGGCAGAGCTCAGCAGCAGCAGCAGCAGCCTCCTGAGGCACGGCCCGCCAACCTGAAGCTGTTTCAGACCGGAAACCAACTCCCCACCCAACAGAGACAGAGAACAATGGAGACCCAAAAGAGCATGGAAGGATTTGAAAGGCAGAGACTCCTGAAGAGCCGCAAGTGCATGGTTCCCAGGGGGCAGGGGCTGCATATATACGGAGATGAACATGGTTTCTTTTCGCGCACAGCCCAGCCGACGGGACGCTGCCAGCAGTCCCCAACGTGAGCAGTGGCGGGGCAAGAGCACGGACCCCAAGCTGCTGCGAGGCCTCCCCCAGCAGAGAAAACGGCTGCCAGGCTGGCTCCAGTGCAGCCCCCAGGCCTTCCGCTCCCAGCGCGGGTGGAAACAGGAGCAGGACCCAGCAGGCACTGATCCCAGAGTTGGAGCCAAGGGGCTAGGAAAGTCCCGTTTGTTGGCCAGGCTGGGACCACTGGCGCTGCACACTACAGCACTCAAGCCCCACCCTGGCATTCTTGCCATTAGGCCATCCTGCCCTCCCTGGTGCCTAATGGGGCAGTAGGTGAGGGGGCAGGAGGTTTCTGTGGCCCACTATAGACCCAATGGTAATGGAGGGTGTTACTAGGATACTGGGGAGGAACATCCTGCTGGGGATACCCACCTGCACAGGGCATGGTGGAGTTTCAAGGGGTTGGGGAGTCCTGTGCAGCCCCTACTGAGCCTCCTATTGCCCCCAAAGGGTGCAACTATTACAGCAGGAGATTTTAGCAACAGGCTAACAGACGCGCTTGTCCCCATATCTCCCAGTGAGGACTCAGACTGTGATGGACAAGGAATAAATTTGCCACTGAATGAAGAGTTTCCTTTGGGTGTAGACACACGTATCAGCCAGCCTCACTCCCACCAGGGGTTACAATGGCAGAGCAGGGGCATGTATGCCTGCTAAACTGGGATAACCTGGCAGCCTCAGTTCTGTCCATTAAATGTCAGCCCCGCCAGGAGAGGGGCAAGGCCAGAGGCAGATCCAGTGGGGGGCAGTCGCACGCACCCCTTTGATTCCTGCTCCACCCAAACTTTAAAACAAAAGTCCATGGGTCGTTATCGTCCCGCTGATTCCTGCTAATCTTGCCCCGTGCCACAGGTGTTAGTGACTCTCTCTCCTTTATAATGGCCTGGATTTTCCACTACTCAGACTATCCCTTCTAAAATTTTGCTGTTTGTCGTTGCTGGCAAAGTCTCCTTTCTGTTTCACGGCCCTGCGCGTTGTTCTTAGCTCTAGCCAAAAACCTGAACTCAGATGTGGCAATATTAACTCGGGTATAAAAATGACTGCCAGTTTACTGCAGGCACTATCAGATGCTCCAGAAGGCAAGATTTGGTTTTATGAATCAGAATAAAAGACATATATTTGACTAGAATGATTAAAGGACTAATGACATCATACATTTGGACTATAAATTTGCCTAGCTGCATTTTTTTTAAAGCTTACCACATCGTCTAGAAAATCAGTGCGTATTTCCAACACTTCCAGGAAAAAACAAAAGTATCTTCAAAAGAGCAAGATGGTCCTCGCATATTGGTAAAGCATTTGGTTTCTCTAACTGGAGAAAAATGTGTTGTGCTACGTGTGATGTGCTGGCACCATCTGCGCCTGCCTTTTCACAATGCTAAATCCGTCTGTGCTGAAGAGCCACTCCCTAGTGACCCGGCTTGCCTCAATTCACGTCCATGTGCCCTCGTGGACTCCGACCCGAGATTTTCTAATGGCTCCTCACACCTGCCCATGAGAGTCCTGCTGCCTTCCCAGCCCGTGCACGGGCTTGAAGACAGGGGAGTTTTGCAGCCATTCTCTCACACAGCTGTCCCCGCATCCCATGCACTCATGGTGTGCCCCTAGTTGACTCGGGGAGCACTTGGGAGCCTCTTACCTCCTGCCTTTGGTCCAGGTCATTCTGGCTTGTTCACCCCTCCTGAAACACAAAAAAAAGCAGTAACAAAATGCTCATCAACTTACAAAACTTCACGCTGGCAGGGAAAAACACAAGGGGTGATGCACAGGAGACAGCAGAGTCCCCAGGAGCACAGCTGTGCAGATGTTCATAGCACCTCCCCACGCGGGCACAATGATCACACGCCAGCCTCTTCCAACGGGGTTGGCACAAAGGACAAGAACTTACTGCTGCACGTTTCCAACCGCCGCATGAGCTCGTCCTGGTACTTGGTTGAAGAGCTGGGTCCCCCCAACACCGCTCTGCTGTCAGGTCTCGCTGGTGGATGCTGTCAGATAAGTCAAACGCTGTGTTACTTGCTGGCCTCTGAAAAGTGCCAGTATCAAAACTGAGAGGGGCAAATAAGGCCAGTGCAATGGGGCAGATTTCCGGCGCAAAGAGGAGGCAAGCACTAAACTCTTAGGACCTCTCCTGGGAGAGCTCTGCCACAAAGCAGCCATTATTATCATCTTACTGGGAGAGGAACTTGGGGTCGCGGGTCCTGTTCCTTTTCCCTTCTCCGCGGGCATGATAACCGGCTGCGTACAGGCCCAACCGTGTCCCTCGGTGCCTGCAGCGAAACGCATTGTGACGCGGCATTAGAAGGAGACGGGGGTGATGCAAACCAGCATCGTGCAGCAGTCACAGCTGCTCCTGCCTTCGCCTTTACAAAAAGTTCCCATCACAATAAACCACCCTGGGGCACGGAAGACACCAGCGCAAGTAGGTCTGGAGACGCTGCGCAGACCAAAAGTAGCAGCAAGCGGTTGCTATAAGGGAATACCAGGGTAGGTGATGAGAAAGACTAACCAACGCCAGCCATTGCGGGCTGCTGTATAGAGATGCACGATTCTTGTCTGGAGTCTGGGGGAAAAAAGGGCGATCATTAAAATGAAATATTGAAGAGCTACTTTCGGTTCCTGCAAAGGAAAGGAACGTTCCCAGCCAGCTTAGAGAGAACAATTGAGAAAAAAAAAACAAACCACAGCATCATTCAAGCAACATCAAATTAAATAACACTGCAAGAAAATTCAATCTAAGTGCAAAGATGATCCAGCCCAGGAGACAAAAGGCAGATTTGTGCTTTCTAATCACATTGGCGAGTGCTGGAATGGAGGGCTGGAAACATCATTCTTAATGACAGCCCTGGCCGGCATACCGCGGGCAACGTCCTCCTAAAAGATGAGCCGTGCTCCTAGATCAGCTTCCAGCTCCTGACACTGATTTCTTACGCCTTCCTTCTCCCTTCCAAGCAGGGGCGAGGCGTAGGGGTGCATGGGGCTGCACGTGCAGCCGGCCAGCGGGGTGCCAGGAGGGGCACGTGCCCCGCCAGCTCGAGAGGCTTGCTGCGGGCGGGCTCCCGGCACGGCGCAGACGAACAGCCGAACCGGGCCGAGGAGGATCAGAGTCGGACCAATCGGCGCACAGAGGAGCGCGAACCCCGTTGCCCGTGAGCCAATCAGAGTGCGGAGAAGGAGGGCGGGCTCCTCCACCCGCCTGTCCTGGCAGAGGCCAATCAAAGCGAAGAAGGGCGGAGCGGCGCTGACCCCCGCCCATGCGGCCACTCCACCCAATCACCGCAGACCCCCGGGCGGCCAATGAAAACGCGAGCCTCCAATCCGGCCCTGCCGCGCTTCCAAGGCTGAGGACCGGAAGTGCGGTGAAACTTGTCCGCCCCGGCTGCATGAGCTACAGGCGCGGCCCGGAGCCACGTGTTTCCCTTTGGCTGCCAAGCGCAGGGGCCGGCGGCCAAACCTCGCTTGCGCCGCGGCCGGGCTCAAACAGCCGCAGGCTCGGGCACCGCAAGGTCGCAGCAGCCGCCGCAGAACTACAGCTCCCAGCGTGCACCCTGCCGGAAGCGCATGTGAGCTCGCGAAGACGCCCGTTTCCGAGGCGACCGGCCACGCCGGAACTACCAGCGTTTGCCCGCGGCCCGTCGTGGCACGGGGCTCCTGCGGCGCATGCGTGGGAGCACCCAGGCACGCTCGGTCACGTATGCGGGGTGTTGCATCCCCGCCCTCTGGCCTGGTCCCGCACGCGCAGTACAGCGCCGCTCTGGCCGGCCATTATGCATGGAATGGCGCATGCGCAGCAACCAGCGGAGTGTGGGGTCCTAGTGCGCGCTGGGTTGGAGGCTACAGCTAGTCCAGCTGCAACTACGTCATCCCATCCAGGCTTTAAACCCCTGCCAGGATGCAGATTCCCCCCCCTCCCTGGGGAGCCTGGCCTGATGCTCCCCCCCACTCCTAGAGATATTTTTTCCTAATACCCAGTCTCAGTGTTCCTTGCTGCAACTTGAGCCTATTGCTCCTTTTCAGTCAGTGCTTTTTGAGGCCCTAGGGCTTAGGGCCTGTCAACCTGTAGGGTAACTTCTTGGTAGAGGAAAGCATATGGCCTTCTCACATAGAGCAGAGATTGGGGTTTGTAGGATCACTGAAGTCCTCCACGCTGGGCAACAAGCTGCCTTAGTCTTCCTGCAGCGATAGGGCCTTATCCTGTACAACCTGGTATGCCCAAGTACAGAGCAGCTCGCAGGGAACAAAGTAGAACAGAAAGATGAAGAGCAGGACATGTTGTTCATTGCGACTTGAAGCACATGAACATCCAGCCCCTGCCAGAATACAGACAGTAGTAGTAAGTTACCTCCCACAAAAAAGCACCTGGATTGGACCCTGCTCCAAAAAGAAAAAAAAAAAAAAGGCTTTCTATCCCTTGAAAGAGCAGCACACCAAATGCTATTAGCACATCTTTTATCCAGACATTAAAGGGCAACATCCACCACCCAGCTGCCCCTTGGTGCACGTACTTGGGAGATCTGCCCTAAGTCCAAAAGCCAAGTAGTGAAACATGCCAGAGCAGGAAGGCTCGGAGGGAATGCATACTTGCAGCTTTGCTTTACAAGGCTGGGGGGCGGGGACTGCCCATGGGCCACGTGCAGTTAATCAAACCAAAGTCAGACAAGCCAACCAACAGAAAAAACAGAACAGAAGCAAGACTGCTTATTCTTCTCACAATTTTCGATTTGCCACCCCTTGTTTTAGTTTTCAGGCCTTCTGTTCAGAACTCAGGATGAGGCTAGTAATACATTGCACGTACAGAGCTGATACTCTTTCACACAACCAGCGGTTTCTGAGCTTCCATGCACAACATATCTCCCTTTGTGTTCCCATTTTTGCACTTATCCTCCCATTTGATTATCCCCCCCCCATTTATTTTTCCCAGCAGATTAGTTAGACAGAAACAGTTTCTGAAGGGCTTTTGCTTTGTGGAGCAGTCCACAGTATGACTTGGACAGAACGTGCACCTTGAAAGATCAGAGCCCTAAACAGGAGGATTGCCTGAACAGCCTTGCCTCTGTCCCTTTCCTAGAATTCCCCTTCACTCAATAATTTCGCTTTCCAATTTTCCACTCTCCCTGACCTTGCTTCGTTCTCAGGATAGCTGCCAATTTGAGACATCAGAAGAGAATGATAAGAGCATTAAATGAGATCCATCTCGGCAATAAAATGGATCTCTCATTTCTTTCAATGCAGATACAGAAAAGAGAATTTCTGCCTAGTAATAACCTTGCAAATCTTTTTGTCTGGAGCTCCACACATGGTGCACATCCTCTCCATTCAGATGTCTGACAGGCCAGTTTTTTACTCCCCATCAGGATACTGTCAATTTTTTTTTGATGCAGTATTTATCTATCCTCATTGGATTGGATTATAAACACAGGATACTGCAGTCGGCTTGATCTCTCATTATTATGCCCAATTCTTGTCCAAGTGATGGACAAGCCCTGAGATTGAGAGATTGTCAAAGGCAGTATAAAAAAAAAAAGAAGAATACTGCTAGCAGGAAAGCACCTAGACCTGACAGATTTCCCAGGTACAGAGCATTAAGAATGTGTCATTTAAATGAATGGTGTCATGAAACGCTAAAGGGCCAAACTTTGCCTGCAAACGGAAGCGTAGCCTAAAGACTAGAGCAAAGAGAGGAATCTTTCAGTTTAAAACGTGTATGATCGCCACTGCCATTATGTACACAATTGTTAACATATTTATCTTCACAACACTTCTGAGCTACACAAGTATTACTACCTGATTTTAAAGTTAGAAAGCAGAGTAAAATAGAGGCTAGGAGCCAGGTTTTGACAGTAGTTTAAGTGACACGCATTACAACAACACACATGAGGTACACAGGTATGGAAGTAGCAATTGTACACATGCTCTAGTCTTCAGACATCCTTACTACTTTCTGCCTGGGAAATCTGACAGATCTAGATGCTTTCCTGCTAACAGTATTTTTTTTCCTTGTATTAATTGCCTTGATAATCTCTCAATCTCATGGTTTGTCCAGCACTGGGAAGAGAATTAACCATAATAATGAGCGATCAAACAAAAAGCAGGCAGTTGCACTATCCCCTTGCGTTTCCTCTGAGTTTTCTAGGAAGCAAGGTTTTAGGGCGATTTTTAACTAAACCAACGGTGTTGTTGGGAGAGATTAGACAAGCTTAATTTTTAATCACCAAAGGTCCAGATCGTTTCCAGGAATTTAATGCGGAGAAGACTCCGTTACAAACACTTGTATTGATTAAACAAATCTTTAGATGCAGCACTGAGTTAGACAGATACTAGTTTGCCTGTATTTGGAAAAAAATAAATTTCCAAAAATCTTCGGCACTGCTAATAAGCACCCCTATTCCATCAGCAAGCAAGACAGTACTACTTAAAAAAAAAAAAAAAAAAAAAAAAATAGTAGTGCCCAAGGCGTCCCCAATAATCCTTTGTGCAGAGCCTGAAGACATTCTTGCCAACAAGATCATCTTCTTTTTGGCAGATGTTTAGTGTGCTTCTGCTATATACAAGTCATGGTTCAAGTGATACTTCATTAGAAACAAGTCAAACCAGCTTTACCAAAAGAGGCAAAAAACGATCGATGCATACAAGTACAGAACATGTTTCAATACAACAGGTATCAATTGCGCCGCTTCACAACCAGTACATGTTTCGGGATTTACGGCATACTGTGGAACATTGATTTTTGCAGTTTTTCACATGGCCAAATTTCAGGCGCACTCACTTTTTGAAGTCATCTCTTTTCACTGAAACCAGACTTGCAGCAAGTGAAAGAGCATGTATGCTCAGCATTCACTGCTTCCTTGGACACAGAACCAGCACTAGCTGCCCAAAGGATTATGGCTGTTCTCTTGGAACAAGGCAGGATTATTGCTGAGCCAAAAGGCATCCCATAGTTTTCAAAGTGTCTTTAAAAGAAAAAGTGTCCAATTTCCCTTAAAAAAAAAAAAAAAAAAGGTCTTGAAATACAAGATCTGTGACAGTTTCCCCTAAACTTACTGAGGAAATCTGCCAGCTATTCCTAACCAATACAATACAGCATTAGATATTAAATAAAATACATTGCACAGTAACTCTGCATTAAAAGCCTCAAATAAAAATGTAATAAAGTATCTTAATATTCAAGGTTGCCGAGAGCCTTTAAAATAGAGTTAGCTCTTTATTGCAGCCATGCGTATCTAGGATTTGAATCCACAGTAGGGGCTGAAAACTTCAGATCCACTTTACTTCAGCATAGGAGAGGCAAAGAAGTTGCCTTGACGCCCAAGGTTGGTTGCAGATTTGCTTTTGCTCCCAAACCTATTCAAGACAAATGGAAAGAGGGTCACTTCTATAGCAGTCCTCATGATACTGCTGAATGTGCAGCCATCCCCTTTCCTCTCCACATTGTACCGTGATCCCAGACAGTTATTTTTTCACCCTCCTCTAACTTTTCACTAGTTCGTACTCCCCCCTTCTTGCCTTCGTTTTGGATCAGCATGGTTATTGCTGGATCCTGGAAGTTAAGTAATTTTTAACTGAAGAGAGGGCCTACTTGCATCAGCTACCCTGTGATGAGCTTCACTGGAAACCATGAAGAAGCAGGGATGGACCATGGGTGGTTTTCAAGGAGCTACCCACTGGTCTCATATTTGTCCTGAGGAAGGACAGATCAAGTCCTGTAGATTTCTCCACTTTCAAAGTTCTCGCCTCACGTGCCCCTGATTACCATGTGCTTATAAGCTGGTAGCCAGAGCTCTATCAAATATAAAGCACTGAGTATAGTCTCTGGTTTGGCCACATTTAGGGATTGTAGTTGGTTGTGTAGTAACTTCCCAAAAACCTTTGAATTATACGTGGATCTAGGAGTTGTTCCCAAATTCTTATCTATCCACAAAGGCCTATTTCAATTCAGTGTATTTGGATGATAAGCACTGAGCATATAACAGTACTTGGACCAATGCAGTACTTCAAACTGAATCTTTTTTTTACTTCCAAAGCATGCGCCACCACTTACTTGGGGGTAGTTCTGCTGAGTGTAGATCTGACTTTCTGCGATAGGGAGCTAGATGAAGGAGTCTTTGACAGCTGGTGCTCAGGAGTAGTGAGAGGACCCAGCACGCTCACTTCCCAGATGACAGAGAGGGGGAGGGAGGGGGCAAATCACAGTATTAGGATACCTTGCATACAAGACCACCTCTCTCAAGGTACATTATCTGCAGAAACACTGATTTCAGATTTACTGAGCTAACCCAAGTTATCCTGCAACATTAACTAGCTTTGCTGCTGAAGAGCCACTCAGTGCTTTCAGTATGCATTTGTATGTAAAGTATGTTAATGCCGACAGCAGAGATGGTGGGAGTTCAAAAGAAAGCATCTGATTTTTCCTGCCCAGTGTCACTTCCGTCACCCTGCTGACAATGCGAATGTAAAAATCGCTCTACATTTTGCAGTTGATTAGAAGCCTATATTCCCGAAACAGAGAGGCAGAGCAAGCATCAGACTCTTGCTAATTTAAGTGACAAATTGCAATTACCAGTAGAGGTTTGGGATTAGGAACCAAGCATTAGTCTTGTTTCACACTGGGGATCTATTTCCTGGGGCTGAAAGAGATCAATGAATACTTTTGAAAAGCAAAGCCACCAGTTACCAAACAACCTTTGGTATTGATAATAACTACAGGGGTCAGGAGAAGTTAATTTGGCCGGTTTTGGACTCATTGTTTTGGCTAGAATAGATCGGGGTGGGCAAAATGCAGCCTGCGGGCCAGCTGCGACCCACCAGGCCATTCTATCCAAAAATTTAGAGAATTAATATATATCTGCCCCTGGCTGCCCATCATGCAGCCTTCGATGGCTTGCCAAAACTCAGTAAGCAGCCCTCCACCAGAAATAATTGCCCGCCCCTTGGAATAGATGCTTGGTCATGGTTGAAGATCTGAGAGCAAAACTCTGGCACTACCTTTGACCTCTGGTTTCTGAGGAGTTGAGAAGGCATTGGAGTTTTCAATTATGTGTGCCGGGTCAATGTTTTCTTGCTCCACTACCATGAATTGGCTCCAGTATTCCACTGGCAGTGACAAGAGTCGCTCGACCACCTACAGAAGATACTCATTAGTGCACAGCCTGCCACTATATTCAAGCCACAACTGACAGATTTTGATACACTGTCATAGTAAGCTGGTATATGCAGATACTTCATCAGGATAAACTTATGCACTTCACATGCCTGACATCCATGTTCCAGCTCAGTGTCCTGGCTGCTGACCTACCTTAGGTTGTCGTTTAGTGTCCTGTAGTAGTGTCATAGGATCAGGATCAGGGACAGCATGGGCAACTATTGTTGGTCCAAAGACTTTAGCTAGGTTGGTAATATCCATCTTAGTGTCTAGGCTCTGAGCCACTCTAAACAAAAGAAAGTAAAAAGATAGATAAAAACCCCATTTCTTACAAAGCCAAATCTCTCCGCACTCTGAATTCACAAGTTTTCCAGAGTAAAGGCTCCCATGTCTCAGCCACTAGTGTAAGCCTTTAGAAAAAAAGAAAATGACAGTGCCACTTAAGTAGCTGACCTCACCTCTGCAGGTGAATCATGAGGAAAGCCAGAGTGTCTCTGTTGGCATGAGGAAGCTCACTAACAGCCTGGTACATTGCAGCTACACTGTTGTCTTCATCCAAGATTTCTTGGAGAGGGAGGTGGGGGGGGGGAAAAAGAGAGGGGAGAAAAGAGAAGAGAGAAAGGATTAGGTAAACATCTTTTTTTTGTCCAAGCAAGCACGCTGGATGTGACACTCAGCACATCCTCACCTGCTGCCTCCATAAAGGTCTTGTTTAACCGGAAGGTGAGGAGGGGCTCCTTTAGGCTCCGTAGGAAGTCTTTAAGAAGGCCGCAGATGGCATGGATATCATCCACCTTGCTGAGCAGGGGCACAGTCTTCCCTCGAAGAAATTTCTCCTTCAGTTCTTTCACTGTCCGGTCACAGCCTGAAATTCTGTACAGGCCTGTCTGTTAGCAGAAAGCAGTGATTAAAAAAACAAAAAAAAACAAAAAAAACAAAAAACCCAGGAACATCACTTGCATATGTCCAACTTAAAACAGGTTCTTGACAAGATTAGACTCCCGCCCGCAGGCCTCAACCCAAATTGAGGACTTTGGGTACTGACTGTTATTCTCTCACTATGTACTTGTCTCCATTACAGGGCTACTGTTGCTGCTTTTAGCATGGTAACAGAGCTCTCTGGTTTAGCCTGATCATATGCTGCCAAGAGTTTTTCAGCTGCCAGAGGTGTCTTCTGTTGGCAGAAGTGCATCTACATCAAGAGCCTGGCAGCACAACTATACTGGCTACAGGGTTTCATCTCGAGACATCCCTACTGGCACCAGAACTTTGTAATACAGACAAGTCTTCTACTAAGCAGTACGTGTATGCTTCCAAAAACCTTTAACAAGCGACCCTTATTTCACACAATTAACATCAGAACTCATCCAATTACCAACCCCACACATCCTTACCTCATGCAACCCTCGCTGTTCAATCTCATTAACACAATGAACTATAATGGAAGGGATCATCGGAGGAGTAACAGGCACAAAGTCCATCAGAGTCCCCTAAAAGGAGGAACAGACCCATTTTGTAGTTACTGACATGTATAAACTTCAGGATGCTGGCTTCAGGATAGGGCACCTCTCTCAAGAGGCCCCATCAGGCCTAAGGAAAGCATTCAGTGTATTTTCATTTCTCAAACCCAAAGAGTAAACATCACATATTCCAAGAGTTAAGAGATTTCCCTTCTTCATAAAGGCATCTTATTTCTTGACACTTTCATTGAGAAACGGTGACTAACTTAGCCCTAAAGGTAGAATACACCAGGGGCTGAGGCACAATTTCTGGTTGTTTCATCACTGGAACATAGACCGTGCAGTATATATGAAAGAGATGTAGAAGAGTAACACTGCCATTTAATAAAGCATCATAAAACTGGCACTTGGGTACTAGAATCATAAGTGTACTACAATATCTAAACCGTCCTCCATGCTTAAGAGCAGAGAAAAGAAGAACTACCGCAAGCTGTCAGCAAGGAGGAATCTAGGTTAAAGTTGGAGGCTGTTCAAGTTAGCTGTGCCATCATTCACCAGCCTAAGCTTGGCAAAAACTTATTCCACCCAAAACTTCAAGTAAGAGATGAGGTACAACTGAAGACACTCATCTAGAACAGGAAGTCACATTAACAGATACTGCTGGAACCAGAAGACAATGCTTTCCTTCAGGGGTGTCTTCCAGAGCTACCACATACAACTACACACCCTCAAAACGATCCTAGCATTCTTGGGTTTATTTAACAAGCTGTTTTAAGAAGTTTTCTATGGCTGTAAGAAAGCAAGTAATCCACCTAATACCGTAACAAATCATCTTTTGCATAGAAAAAGGCATGGGGTCCTAGGCCTGGTCTAATTCTCCCAGCCCTCCCTAGGTCAAGGGCAGGTCTTAGCCATACCTCTCCAATCCGAACAGGAGTGCCCGTTAAGGTGGGGATGCAAGGAAGGGGACAGCGGTCCCGGCATTCTGGGTGAGTCACCACACGACAGTCCCTGCACTTTAAGGACAATTTCCCAAACTTGATCCGCTTCCCACATGGAACACAAGACTCTGGCTTGATAACCTGGAAACAATGAGCATGCAAGAAGAGAACTGGTTATACAAGGTACTAGAGCAGACATTGCTTAGTTGGATAGATAGATTGGGCAGTCTCCTACTTTGCAGACAGCAAGCCACAGAGAACAATCAAGTTGCTTTGTATGAAGAATAAAGGATGCAGGAGTTTATTCAAAATCCCCTTATCAACATCTGGCAATTTAGCTTCTAGCAAATCCTGCACAGTTACATTATTCCCTTAGTCCTGGCATTTCTTACGGTTAGGGGGGGCATGCACCAGGAAGTCTTCCCTTCGACTATTTAGGGATGAACCATCAGCAGTTAAAACTTCAGGCCCAAGTATGAACATGGCTGACTCAGCCTGGTTGCGAGAGGCATTCCACAGCAGTATGCCAACGTGTAGATGTAGACATGTCTACATACATCCTAGAAGAGAATTCAAGGTTCATTTGTATCCCAGAGTTGCAATTGCCAAATGCCTTTGGATAAACTGGGGCCATGTATTACACTACAGAGAGAAGTGTACAGATGTAATGAATGATTCATTCTCACACACATGCATGCATGCATGCATGCATGCACGCACGCACGCACGCAGTACCTGAAAGGAAGAATCTGCTCAGGTTCTTACAACCTATACCTACCGTCTTTGATACAAATTCATGCAGCCTCATTCCTCCATTGCTTTGAGGAGTGCTAGAGCCATCATTTTCAGATTTGGATTCCAGTTGCCTGCTGCCCAAGCTTGAGTCGCAGCTCCAGGGTTGTAAACTGGCTGAAAGACAAGGAGGAAAGAGCTGTAAAATAAGTTTCCAGTAGTCTTCCACATCAAGACAATATAAGTTATGAACACAGGCGTGTAGATACTGGCAGGAAATTACCTTAACTGGTTTGGGGGCAACATGGAGCTGGCATTCCTCTATGAGCTGTAACTGGCATCTGTGTTGTCCCAAAGACAACAGAACTACCAGAAGCTATTAAAAGGTACAACTGGTAGTTGACAGCTAATTATTTAGTGTTGTGCTCCTAGATCCTTACAAGGCAATCACTTTTTTTGACATGCCTAGCAAAGCTAGGCAGCTGTATGGAGCCTAACTGACTTTGCTTAAACCCTCAAGCAAGGCTAGGGAAATGGCTTTTAAAAATAATTGAAGGTGAAGAATTAGAACTGAAGTATATCTTCAGTTACTGCAACATCTTGGGGGAACTTTGACAGTAAATGCTAATACAAGAACATTATGGTGTTGTTTTGGATAGTGTCTTCAATGATTCTGGCATACCAGCTCTTTGGAAAAAATACTTTTCTTTTGAATATTAAAAAAACAATACTAAAACAGTCATTCCACTGCAGTCAGAGTACCTGCATACACAAGAGTTATAGAAGTTTTAATTATTAGAAGCATTTAGGAACAAAGAGGAGAAATGCGGGGGGAGGAGTTTGGCTCTACCTTTCCTTTAAATTTCATTCTCTCTGAACTGAAAGCATATAAACTGTTACAGAGCCTACCCAGGGACATGCCCCACTGTGCTGCATCAATCCTATATAAAGATCTTTATATTTTGTTATAAAAGTAACCCACATTTGTTTTTAAATAATTAGCTAAAATTTGAGTTTCCCAGCAAAGAACAGAATGCCCGCAAGGAAGTCCCATTTAGTTAATCAACTCAAGACATTCGCTTCACTCCAATTATAGCAGAAATGGGAGATAGCTGGTGCCTCAGAAAAAAAATGTCCTTGGAATTTTGCCTATCTTATTTTCTTGTGCTGTTGTAGATATTAAACACTAATAAGACTATTAAAAGATGGCAGAGAAAAAATACTTGTCTAATTTATCCACTGTGAAATCGAACATTGCCAAGTATAATTCCTGCTCATTAACTTTACTAATAGCCAGTACCATTTCTTGAATTTCCCAGCGTTTTTCTTAAATAAAAACTAACAAATCACCACGTGTACTAGTCGCTGTAAGAATATAGGCAGCAACTGATGAAAAGGGTAGTGACAAGCAACAGCTTTGTGCATCAAAACTAGGATAAATTCGATACCTACCCGTCTTCCTTTGACTTCTGAGACGGTACGGTACAGTCTGAATAGTGGAGATGGCTTCAATCGGGCCACCATCATTAGGGACCATAAGGGTTGTTTTTGCAACAATAGATTCATTTCCCTGAAATGATAAATCTAGGTTCAGTGACAAAAATTTTTGCTACCCAATAAGGCAAAACATTTTAGTTTTTTTTGTCCAGACCCGTCATCTATTGTCTGTCTTTGAACTAAATCATATTGATTTAATTCTTTTAAATAACAAGAAAGAGCAACAGACTTTAAAAGACACTATATAAAACACGGGTGAACAAAATACAGTCCACGGGCCACAGAGATTTTGTCCAGCCCCTAGCGGGTCCCTGTTTCACCCAGCTCAGACACAGGGCACAGCCTGAGCCACGGTATGTGCAGCTGGTCCCACCGCCCCAAGGCGCACAGAGGTGCTGGGGTGGCACGGCAGCCAGGCTTGCTACCCGGCAGCCTCAGCAGTACCTTCCAGCTGTTGCTGCCAGACGCAGCCCTGCTGCCTGGGCACCCCAGGAAGTCTGCCCTGCACCCACCATCGGGGACAGGACCTACACAGGCAGAGTATGCAGCCAGGCAGATGGTTTGGGGCTGCAGGTGGACAGGAAGTGCTTGAGAACAGGATGGGTGGGCAAAGCCAGGATCACAGGGTGGGATCCTGGGGCAGTGACAGCATGGTGCCAGGGCTGGGGCAGAGCTGTAACCTGCTGCCTGTAGGGCCCAGCAATGGGCACAAGTTCCACAGGCAGGGGCATGCAGGGAGCGGATAGTGGCCCTTCCCAGGCCCCAACTCCATGTTGTCACTGTCCCAATATCCTGGACCTGGCCACAGATGCAGTTTCCTGCTCACCCATGGCCCCATCCGGTCCACCTGGTTGCATGCCGTGCCTGCACAGGTCCCAGCTGTTCTCCATGGAAATCATGGAGTTATGAGGTGGTGACATCATGGGGCCAGGGCAGATATATGATCCACTTCCTGCACATCCCTGCCCACAGAACCAGCACCCAAGGCAGGGACATTCAGGCAGTGGATCACGACTGCCCTGGGCCCTGGTTCCACACTGTCACTGCCCCACAATCCCAGCCCTGGCCTGGGCACCACCCACCCTGCTCCTGGATGCTGCTCCCGGCCACCCGACCGAGCACAGAGCAATGCCTCTTAGGGTGTTTTGGCGAGCTATTGCGCTGGGGAGGGAAA